CCAGCTTATTCTCATGAGTCAAGCTGATTTGAAGGTTGGAGCCATTGCTCTCATAGTTGGGCCTGCTTCACATCTGGCTTTTACCTCCTGCCTTATACCCAGCCCCTGCCTCAAGCCCAAGGCTTGGTAACTGGGATCGCATGCCATTTCTCCGGGCCGTGACTGATGTCTGCATTGCAGCCCAATGGCCCAACCTGTTTAACGGATGAAGAAAAGCAGACCCAGAAAAATGAAGGGACTAATTCATAAAGCCCAAATTGATCTTTCCACCTGGTTTTGGCCAGGGAGCACAATTTCCAGCAAAGTCCTGCCTCTTTAATGCCCTGGCCAGAGCCTCCCCCAAAGGACTGCTTCTCTCCTACCTCTCTCTCTCTGGCAAGCTAGATTTCCAAACCTGGCCATTGAGAATTAAATGGAGCTGGTTTCTGGTCCCAAAGAAAAACAAGCTGGTCAATTTTCTGTCGGTCTCAAGGCAGCTCCTCACTGCCCAGAAGCCAAGCAGACACTAGCCAGTCTGTGTGCAGGGCTGAGGCTGCAGCTCTCGCTGGCCAGTAATGACTTCTCGGAGGGAGCTGGCCTGGGCTCAGACCGCTCTGGGTGGGGGGAGAGGAAGCTGAAGACAAAACTGCGCTTCTCGTAAAGGTCTCATTCTAAAAATAAAGATGGAGTTAGCTAGTGAGTGTCTGCAGAGATGCTTGCCTGAGTAGAGAAGTTTATTTGTCTGGATTCTTCAGATAAACAGAACTAATAGGAGATAGATAGATAGATAGACAGACAGACAGACAGATAGACATATATATACACAATACAAATACATATATATATAAAATAAGGAATTGGCTCACATGGTTTTAGAAGCTACAATCTGCAGTCAACAAGCTGGAGACTAAGGAGAGCTGATGGTATAGTTCCAGTGTGAGTTCACAGCCTGAAAACCAGGGGAGCCAATGGTGTAAGCTACATATCGAGTCTGAGACCAAAGATAGGAGATGACTGATGTCCAGCTTAAAGACAGGAAGAGAGAGCAAATTCTCCCTTACCCTGCTTTTTTATTCTATTCAGGCTTCTGATGGATTTTGTGAGGTCCATCCATATTGGGGAAGGCAATCTGCTTTACTTAGTCTACTGATTCAAATGTCAATTTCATCCGGAAACACCCTCATATACACACCTAGAATAATGTTTAAACAAATACCCTGGCCCAGAAAAACTGACACATAAAATTAACCATCACAGAAGGTTATGGAGGCATGTGGAAGTTCCTGAGTAGGGCATCCAGGCTAAGAAAAGGGTGCTGAGTGAACTTTATCCTAACGAGTCGTGTATCACAATAAGATCAAAGCTTTCAGGATAAGGAAGGTTCTCAGGAACTGAAAACTAGCCTTAAATCTAGTAAATAATGAAGATAATTTATTGCTTTTTGTATATGAAAGTTTCAAAAGGTTGAGCGTCAGGCAAGGCTTGATCCAGTGGCTTAAGTATATCACCAAGAATCTAGTTTCTGTGAAATCATTCAGTTGCCAGAGTCAGCAAGAAAAAAATATAGGATTTCTAGTTAAATTTGAATTTCAGATTAACAGTATTTTTTTTAGTGTAAATATATACAGCAATAATACTTTTTTTAGTATAAATATATCTTGTGTAATATTTAGGACATATACTAAAAAACTATTTGTTTATCTAAAATTCTAACTTTACAGGGTGTCTTGTATTTTATCAGACAGCCCTATCCTAAGACTAGCTTGTTCATTCTTTCTCTCTCCGATAGCGCCTATAGTTCCTTTTCCAGAACCACAAGCAAACACCTTCTTTTGTCTTCTTGGTCTGGAATGCTTATTTCCAAACCCATTTCTGTGGCTGGGGGATAAGATGAACTGATTTGCTTGGTAAGGAGGCCAGAGGCCTTTTGAGAAAGTAGAAGAGGAATGTGATACTTGGTGGGGGGCACTCAATAAATGTCCACTACAGTGCACTTTGCCACAGAATCCAAGCTCCTCAAGTCTGGATGGGACCCTAAGGATCATTTAATCCAACCTGTGATGTGATGCTTAAATCCTCTTTATGTTCATAGGTCTACTGACAGGGCACTTACTTTGTTTAAAGGAGCTTGTTCCATCTTTGTTCAGCTCTGACTGTTAGAAAGTTCTAGATGAAGCCTATTTTTTTCTTGTATCTTCCACTCATTGTTTCCAGTGCTAACTAGAGGTATCTCTATGGTAGTTTTCAAAACCAACTCCAGATGAATAAGCACCTACTACATAACAGCCACTGGGCTATGTGCTTTTTCATTCATTGTTCATCTCATTTCATCCCCCAACACCCTATAAAATAAGTTTAGTCCCTTTTGATAGATACAGAAAGTTAGGAGTTAAGCCACTTCACACAGCTAATTAGTGGCAGAGCTGGATTTGAGCACACATCAATCTTTGTCCCACCCATTTGTCCCTCCACCATAGTGAGGCACCAACAGCCTTTTAAATATCTGATGACAGTGTCCCAATTCCCTTGCTCTCTAGGGACGTTGCTCTCAGAGACCTTTGCTCCTTAAATTTGGTGGCCCAGATGGAACATGTCGCTCAGATGTGGTCGAGAGTCAAAGAATTGTGCAGCAGGAGAAACAAGAAGTCCAGAGAGCTTCATATACAAATCACTCTTCATGTTGATTTCATTCACTTGTCAACTGAAGTTGAGCATCTGGTATGTACAGATACCAAGTGAGGCACTGAGGATGAAGAAAGAGTGATAGTAAGAGAGAAGATTTAGTCTGTAGTGTGATGGAGCTCATGGCCCAGAAGGGGAAAAGATGCGAGCGAAATCAATAATTACAATAAAATGTGATATACGTGTGTGTATATAAATATATGTATATAAATATATACAAATTTATACATATATGTGTGTATATATACTTTAAAAATATATCTCAATATGAATAGGATTCTGTGGGTCTGGTCATGGGGAAATCAAGGGAAAAAGGGCTTTCCAGGTAGGAGGAACAGTCTAGGCAAATCACAGAGTGGAGCATTTCTGCATTCAGACGGGATTAAAGGGGCACCTAGAAGTGAAGGTGCTTGGTTGAAAGACTGCCCTGCACATGTACCAGCAGGATTCCCTCGGCACAAAGAGTCTTTGCTTTCCAAGGCAGCCTTGGCCTGGGCCTTCCTTCCTCAAACTCTATACTGTTTCTGTAGAAAACACTCCTTCCATCCATTTCAACAAATTGGTGATTCATTCCCACAGAGAAAACTGGCTTTTGGCATTTGAAAACATCATAAATGGGTAAAGGACACAGCAGTTTACACAAAAGGAAATATGGTTAGTAAACAGACATAAGGAAACACAGTCGATCTGGCTGGGAATCAAAGAAATGCAAATGTAAACTGAGGTGCACATTTCTATCTATTAAATTAATAGCCATAACACAAAGGTTTAGATGATTATAGTCAATTTTGGTGAGGTCTGGAAGAAAGAAATTGCTCGGATGTAGTTGAAGGCAGGACCAGCTATAGGATCTGCAGGGCCCAGTGCAAAGTACAAGTACGGGGTCTCTTGTTCAAAAATTAAGAATTTCAAGACAGCAACAGCAGAGCATTAAACCAAATGCTGCATTCTTCTAAGTCTTCGTTGGGGGTCATATAAATAAGTACAGCCCTACTACAGGAGAGGAGGTGTTTCTTTTCCTGTGCAAGGCTGATCTCTTCACTGGTGTTTCAGAATCTCATCTTCTCCCACCTGCTCAGAGATCTTATTATCTATTGTCATTTCTTGACATTCACCTACTTGCTCTTCACCCAAGTTTTCCCAATAGCATTCAATAAACATACAAGACTTCCTTTCTGAAAAGAAAAATTAGAAAACCAAAATTCCTCCCTCAAGCCCTCGCCTCATCTTCTCCAGCTATCCTCCCACTTCCCCGTCTCAGCCATGCTTCTGGAAAGGGCTTTATAGACATGCCAGCCCTGTGACCTTATTTCTCATTTCTTCGCCTTGTTTGTCTCTCCATCCTTACGGGTCTTGCCAAGGTCACCATCGATCTAAATCCATTTGCTGGGACCTCTTGGCAGCATCCTACACTGGTGACTACTCTCTCCTTCCTGTAACACTTCCCTTGTTAACCAAGTCCTCCTGGTTTTCTTCCCATATCTCTTTTAGTTCCGTGGCCAGCTGTCTTCCTTCACCTGTAAGTGGGAGTTCCTCACTTACCTGGTTTAGACTGTGTCCACCTTCACCCTTTCTCCTTAGGCAAGCCCATCCATGCCTTTAGTTATCATCCACACATTGATGACTCATGAGTTCACGGCTCTAATCCAAACTCTGCTGAATTTCAGACCCATAGTCCAACTGCCTATCTGTCATCTCTTTCCTATCTCAAAGACACCTTGAACTTATGAAGAAAACCACCCCAATCCTGATCTTCTTCCATTGTTCCCTATATCTGTGAATGGCGCCACTATTCATCCTGTTCCTTACACCAGACATCTAGCAGTTGTCCTGCATATTTCCTCTCCCTCCTCTTCTCCCACACATCTTAAATCCACTGCCAAGACTTGGTCAATTTTACCTCCTCCATATTTCCTGAATAGGTCCACTTACCTTCATTCCTATCCTGACTCTTGTCATCTAAGCAATCATCTTTGATCTTGACCACTGCAACAGCTGTCCATTGGTATCCCTCGAACTCCCTTCAAACTCCCCTTCCCACTACATACTGCAGCCAGAGTGAGTGTTTCAAAGCACACACCCAGCTTTGCTCTCAAAATGAAGAGATACCCTTTTTGTGGCCCATAGTCCCTGCCTGGTCTTGCTCCAGGCTCCCCCAGCTTTTTAAGCTCCAGTTTTTGTAGTCTTCCTATCTCTGCCAAAAGGCATTTGTACATGCTGTTCCCTCTGTCTAGAATGCTGTTCTTTCCTCCTCTTTGGTCTAATTTTTTTTTAGTCCCCAGCTCAATCACTTTTTCCTTAGGAAATTCTTTATTAACCACCAGGCCAAGTTCCACCATGACGTTCTTTTATTGTTCCATGTCTCTTTCTCCTTAGGAATGCTTAGCATAGTTACAATTTTATCCATCTGTGTGATGACCTGATTGAGTCTGTCTCCTCAACTAGACAGTAGGGCCTATGAATGTAGACTGTATGTTCTTCCTCGCCATTGTAAGCCCAACACTTAATCAGCGTCTGGAAAGAACAAAGTGCTCAATAAATATTTGGTGAATGAATGCATGGAAATCCATTTAACTATATTTTGAGAGCTATAGAAATGTTCATATATTTTAATCCAATAATTCCACTCCAAGGAATTTATCCCAGGGAAGCAATCCAAAAGAAAGAAAATGTTTTATACATGAAGGTATTAACTAAAATATTTTTCTAATTAAAAAAACTTTTTTTAAAATCTATAGATGTGCAGCAATAGGGGAAATATTAAAGAGTGGTAGATCCACAAAGAACATGGTCATTAAAAACAATTGTGAAGACTAAGTAGCAATACAGAAAATGACTAACCATATTACAATTGTTTTTCAAAGCTGAATACAAAATTGGAATTTTACAACTAAGTAAAAATGTTTTATGCATGCAGACAAGTACCAGATGGGAACAAGGAAAAAGAAATGAGTTGATTTGTCTAAAAAAAGTGGATCATGATTGAATTTTCCATTGCATTTTGATTTTTCAGAGTAGTTATATTGTTTTTACTCAAATAATACTTTAATGTAATCTGTGATTTTCATCTAGCAATTATAGGTTGAATAAAATAGCCATCCATGTTAAGCTAAGGATCCATCAAAACACAGCTACTTATATTTGACTCACTGAACAGTGAATTCACAAATGCCTAATAAATGATGTTATTTAAGAATGACCTTATTAACCATTGTTGAAATAGATTCCACGATGACTATACCTTATGTTCATAACGAACATTCATGTACATGTCTTTGTGTGGCCATATGCTTCTGTTTCCCTTTGGCAAATACCTAGGAGTAGAAAAACTACACTATATGATAGAAATGTGTTTACTTTTTGTTTTTACTTCACTGTGAATCAGTTTTATTTTGAATTTTATTTGTTAATAATTATGTATATTTGAGGAATACAACATGATGATTTGATACACTTGCATATAGTTACACGATTACTGCAATCAAACTAGTTAACATATCATCGCCTTCTCATCGTTACTATTTTTTGTGTGTGTGGTGAGAACACCAAAATCTACTTTTTAAGCAAATTTCCAATATTCAAACTAAAGTCATCATGCTCTGAATTAGATCTCTAGGCTTATTCATCCTGTTCAACTATAACTTTGTACCCTTTGACCAACACTTCCCCACTCCCCCCATCTCCTCACTTCTCCCACCTCCCTGTCCCTAATAACCACCCTTCTCTCTGCTTCTATGTGTTAGACATTTTTACATTTCAGAGATAAGTTAGATCATGCAATATTTGTCTTTCTGTGCCTGGCTTATTTCACTTAGTATAATGTTCTCCAGTTTTATCCATGTTGTTACAAATGACAATGTTCTCCTTTTTATGGCTAAATAATATTCCATTGTCTTATATCACATCTTTATCCATTCATCCATCAACAGACACTTAGGTTGATTCCATATTTTGGCTATCATGAATAATGCTACATTGAACATGAAAGTGCAGAGCCTTCTTCCACATACTGATTTCATTTCTTTTGGATATATACCCAGAACTGAGAGTGCTGGATCATATGAAAATTCTATTAATTTTTTGAGGAATATCCATAGTATTGTCCATAATGGTTGTACCAATTTACAATCTCATTAACAGTGTACAAGGATTCCCTTTTTTCTACATCCTTGCTAATGTTATCTTTTTTTTTTATGATAGCCATCTTAATAGGTGTGAGGTGATATCTCATTGTGATTTTGATTTGCATTTCCCTGATGATTAGTGATATTGAGCATATTTTCATATATCTGTGGGCCATTTGTATGTCTTCTTTTGGGAAATGTCTATTCAGATCCTTTGCCCATTTTAAAACTGGGTTATTTATTTTCTTGCTATTGAGTTCTTTGAGTTCCTTGTATATTTTGGATAGTGACCTCTTATCAGATGTATGGTTTGGAAATATTTTTTTCCCATTCTGTTAGTTATTTCTTTATTGATATTTCCTTTGCTGTGCCAAAACTCTCTAGTTTGATGCAGTCTTACTTGTCCATTTTTACTTTTGTTGCCTCATATTCAAAAAATCATTGCCCAGCCCAATGTCAAGAAGCCTTTTCCCTATGTTTTCTAATAGTAGTTTTACAGTTTTCAGGCCTTACATTTAAGTCTTTGATCCATTTTAAGCTCACTTTTGCATATGGAGTAAGTTAAGGCTTCAACTTCATTCTTCCACACATGGATAATTAACTAGTTTCTCAACACTACTTAATGAAGACACTGTCCTTTCCCTATTGTGTCTCTTGGCCCTTTTGTCAAAGATCAATTGACCATAAATACATGGATTTACTTCTGGATTTTCTATTCTGTTTCATTGGTCTGTAGGTCTATTTTTATGCCAGTACCATGCTGTTTTGATTACTATAGCTTTCTATTATATTTTGAAATCAAGTAGTTGTCTATTTTGAAATTAGCTTCAGTTTTTTTGCCCAGCATTGCTTGGTCTTTTCTATTCATGGTCTTTTGTGGTTTCATATTAATTTTAGGATTATTTAGGATTATTTTCCTATTTCTGTAAAAAATGTGATTGAGATTTTGATAGAGATTACATTGAATTCATAGATTGCTTTGGGTAGTATGCACATTTTAACGATATTAAATCTTCTAATCCATATACATGGAATATATTTCCATTTATTTTTGTCTTCAATTTCTTTCATCAGTGTTTTATAATTTTCAGTATCTAGATCTTTCACCTCGGTTAAATTTATTTCTTATTGATATATATATTTTTTGATGCTATTATAAATGGGATTGTTTCTTTAATTTCTTATTGATATATATATTTTTTGATGCTATTATAAATGGGATTGTTTCTTTAATTTCTTTTTTTGAGTTGTTTGTTGTTAGTGTGTAGAAACACAACTTATTTTTGTATGTTGATTTTGTACCTGTAACTACTGAATTCATTTATAAGTTCTAACTGTTTTTTGATGGAATCTATAGAGTTTTCCATATATAAGACCATGTTATCTGCAGAGATAATTTTACTTTGTTCTTTCAAATTTGGATGCCTTTTATTTCTTTTTCTTGCCTACCTATTCTGGCTAGGACATGCAGTATTATGTCAAATAAAAATAGTGAGAGTGGTCACCCTTGTCTTGTTTCTGTTCTTAGAAGTAAAGCTTTTAGTGTTTCACCTTTAAGTATGGTGTTAGCCATGGGCTTGTCATATATGGACTTTATTATGTTGAGGTACATTCCTTCCATACCTGATTTGTTGGAAGTTTTTATTATGAAAGGATACTGAATTTTGTCAAATGCTTTTGTTTTGCATATATTGAAATAATCATATAATTTTTATCTTTCATTCTGTTAATGTGTTTTCACATGTATTGAATTCAGTTTTCTAATATTTTGTTGAGGATTTTTACATCTATTTTCATCATATTTACATCTATTTTTTCCTTGTAGTGCCTTTGTCTGATTTTGGTATGAGAGTAATGCTGACCTCATAAAATGAGTTTTGAAGTGTTCCCTCCTCTTTGATTTTTTGGAATTCTTTTTTTTTTTTTTTTTTAATGTTTGGCACCATTCACCAGTGCAGCCATTGGGTCCTGAGTTTTTCATTGTTGTGTGGAACAGGTAAGAATTTCCAGGGACTACTAAGAAAGTAGAATTTGTAGCTAAGAACATGGCCTCAGGTTTAAATCCCATTATGCCACTTGCTGGCTATGTGACCTTGAGTAGGATGCTTTGTCCCTCAGTTTCCTCAGCAGTAAGATGGAGATCATAAGACATACTTTATGAAGTTGTTGTGAGGTTTAAATGGCTTAATACATGTAAGCACTTAGAACAATGCCCGATATGTAGATTGTGATAAATTAGTGGGAGTTGTTGTTATTATTTGGGAAGGTGAAGTGAAAAAGTCTACATTTCTTATAATAGAGCTAGATGTGGCCTAAACTATAATTTGGGCAACAAAAGGAACTGTGGCCTTAATTGTTGTCACAAGCTATTGAGGCTATGCAAGCTATCTTGACATAATGGTAACCCAGGGACAAATGTGAGACTAGGTCCTGGAGCTGTTAATTTGCAAGTGGCAAACAAGTGACAGACTAAGAGCTGAGAAGTGAAAAGGAGCAATTGCTATAGCCTGGGAACCCTTAGAATCAGATAATCAGAGCTAGAAGAGTTTTTTACAAGCTTGTCCAATGTCATGAATTTTGTCAGAGGAAGAAGCTTGGAGGGGAAGCAACACAGCTAATAGTGGCAGATCCAGACTTAGCACTAAGGAACCCATAGTCTCCTGGTACCTGCAGCACAAAAATGGGCATCAGCACCCCATGCCCTCTCTGTTCCAGTCTGGGCAAGGCCTGGTCAAAAATGGCTGGTGCTCACTAACAGAGAAGGGCTGTTATATAATAATAATAAATGTTAATATAATTTTTTATACTTTTAGATAGTACTTAGTATGTGCTAGTTACAATTGTATTAGGTTAACCCATTTTTGACTAAGAAAAATGACAATTTTATATAGGTCAACCTAATACATTATTTAATCGTGACAAAAAAATTATGAAATATATACAATTATTATCCTCATTTTACAAATGAGACTGAGGAACAGAGAGTTTAAATGACTTACCCAGAGACACACAACTGGTATGTGATGGAACCAGTTTACAATCCAGGAGGTCTCACTCCAGAGCCCATGCATGTGAACTTCTTCTCTAGACACTGGCATAGCCTTGCCCACAGTTCTAGGGTACTGGTGCTGGCACCTGTACCCCATGCTGACCCCCAGCATTAGAGAACCAGCTTTCCTCAGGAAATCAGAGCAGCCCAAAACCTTCTGGGGCCTTATCAGAAAGAACGTATGCTGGACCAGCCCTGTGATCTTATGCTGGTGGGGCCTCCAGACAATGGAACAACTGGTGAGCACCAGGCATCACGGCAGAGACAATGTGCTTCTCCAAACACCAGCCACCAGAATAACAAACACTGCTGACTTCCACAGCACTGAAGTCTAAATATTG